AGATGTGGTCACAGATGTGATGTGGCTAAGCTGCTTTTACCTTTCTGCCAATAATTAAAAATCTTTACCCTTCATTCTCTCTCTGCCATTCACTTTTCATGTAGAATATTTAGCATTTCCTCATTACAGTTGTAGCTAGTAAGAAAAACTTTTTGAAATTTGAAATGTCTAATTTTCCAAAGTGTGATTAATGAAAAAACAAAAATGATGTTGTGTTCTACTAGGCCCCAAATATATTTATAAATTTTGACTTTAAAGTTACAATAAAAATATATGCCTTCATATAATAATTAAAAAAAAACTAAGTAGTCGAACGAAAGAAAGCACAGTCTGGTTGTTAGATGTCAGTAAAAAAAATTAGCATATTAAAGAGAGAGTCCTCCCCCCCCCAAAAAAAATAATTTCATTTACTCAGCCTCATGTCATTCCAAATGACTTACTTTCTTCTGTAAAACATAAAAGAAGATATTTTGAATTGGAACTGTTGGTAACCAAACAGTTTTGGTTCTCGGTGACTTCCACTGTATGGACAAAAACACACTGGAAGTCAGTGGGAACTGAAACTGTTTGGTTACCAATATTCTTTACATCTTCATGTATGTTCAGCAGAGGAAAGAAATGCATTCAGTTTTAGAACGACATGAGGACGAGTAAATGAAAGAAATTTTGGGGTGTACTGTCCCTTTAAGTTCATGTGATAAACTACACCTGTGGTTACTCCGACATTTAGTTCGTTAAATGTAACCGGAAAAACATGACTTAAAGTTAGTTCTGAGAAAAGCTCTAGCATCACTTGATGCCACTTGGTTTGATATGTTTTTATCTAAAGTAGGGCTGCAACAACTAATCGATTATTATCGATTATGAAAATCATCGACAACGATTCTCATGATCGATTAATCGGGTCTGCCCACAGTGCACGTCCAACGGAGTTTACATACTTGTCCAACTTCAGCCGGTCGCGTCAAATTAAAGCACTGAATTACTTATTTCTATGGACAAAATGCATCTAAAATAGTGGAGGAAACAGAATGAGATGCTGCAGGAGAGTTACGTGATCCAAGCTGCCCAAAACATGAGCAGAATGTGGAATAGTGTGTTTTTGTCAATAAAATAAAAAAAGAAAATTGTTTGTTTTTAATCCGATTAATCGAAAAATAATCGGCCAACTAATCGATTATCAAAATAATCGTTAGTTGCAGCCCTAATCTAAAGCAATAACATTCAGATATTTTCAAGTGTGTCCAGATACTTTTTGAACTGACTGTATATTCATATTCAATAAAATTGGGTAATGTTTTTCTTATTTAGACTGCAGATGAAATTTACATCTTGGTATTTTGGCATTATAAAGCTGTTGCACAAACCAAATTGTCTAAGTTTTTATGATGAAGGGTTTGTTTGCTTGTATAGTGATTTGTGTCTTCCTTTGGTCTGATGGGGCTTAAATGAGCCCTTTGAGCCATTTTTTTATATCTTTAACTCTTTTGAAAGACCAAACAAATCTGAATTCAACATGTCTTTATTTTAAACACTAGAACGTTCTTTTCTCACCAGAGTCTTTTTGTAGCCCTGCTGTTTGCTCGACCGTTCAGACGTGTACAGCCCCACTAAAACATTAGACTTCCTGTCCTTACTTTTCCATTTCTCCAAATGCGGTGAAGAGAGGGAGAAGAAAATGACATGACTGCACAGGAAACAACAAACTGAACATTATAGGCTGGTTTTCGCTTTCATGGAAAAATTAAAAAAATTGCTGCTTCAAGATTCAGGTTGCCACTATTTTGTGGTTTGTCAGTTTCTGCCAGAACTGCACGAGTTCAGAGGAGGCCAAACACACACTCATCATCTCTTTCTATCTCCCTCCCTCGCTCTCTCTGTCTCTTTTCAATTCAGTGTACTGTCTTGGCATTACTTTTAAAGGGGTCATATGATGCGATTTCAAGTTTTCCTTTCTCTTTGGAGTGTTACAAGCTGATTGTGCATAGATAAGATCCCTGAAATTGCAAAGACTAAAGTCTCAAAACCAAAGAGATATTCTTTATCAAAGTTAAGACTCTGCCACGCCCCCCTAAAACGGCTCATTCTAACACGCCCCCACATATCTATCTTTAAAAAAGCATCATATGACCCCTTTAACTGTACAATATTGACAAAGCATTGTCAATACAGGATCAGCACTGGTAGGAAGGTTCATGCACAACGCCGGTGTGCAGCAGCAAAGAAAACAGAAGTCATTATTTTTACTGCAAATTAGTCAAGAGCAACCGTGACAGTTAGCGATCTAATAAGAAAAGATATGATGCAATGACTTCCAATAGAAATGAAGTTACAGGACCACATGTTGGCAAATGGAGGAGAAATTGATGTGACTATAAATCATTTCACTATTCTTTGTGGTTTCTGTCCACATATAGAAACAAACTACTGCGAGTTATTCCCATACACTTAAATGTTTTAGCTGCTGTTTAGGTTAGATTGATTTTCAAAGTAGAAAAATTTTATTTTTATGATAAAAATATATTCTATTTTTTCGTTAATTTTCTAGAATTTTTTTTTCTTGTATCTTGACATTTGTGTGGCTTTAAACCTCACCTTGTAGTGATCACAAAAAATTTTAATCTGGAAGCCATGTTTGTAAAATGTGTCCACTCCCTCTTGTCTCTTGTTGGTTGTGATTGGCATTATTTCTGGGTTTGAGGGATTATTAAAGGATGTTTATAAAGAATAAAGAGCTTCAGGCTGGCCAACCAAACTGATGTCAAGTGCAGGGGAAAGTCTTTCCCCCCCCTTTCCTCCGGGGGAACAGAATGTTCAGGAGGCCGACGAATCGTTTAGCGTGGCTTGCACTAATGATATGGTGCATGATTGCATGTGTGCTGCTCTTGAGGAAGAAAGAGAAAGTGTGTGCATGGGAAAATAGAGGCTACGAAGCAAGAATTAAGTATTTCATTTCTTTCTCACCACTATAGTGGCCTCGAGATATTTGAGGACTTTTACTTGTCATGCGAAATGTACTCTAGCTTGAGCTCTAAAGATATTACATGAGACATGACAATGAGACATTTTATGCTCCTTGTTTGCTCCTCAATCTCTGGTGCAAGGCAAACCTCTGAGTTCAAGGCAGAGCTAAATTTGAGCCCAGTTATTGATCCACCATAAAGTTCTTTCAATATGACTTTTCTTCGTAATTGTTTCATGTTCGTTCATTTGCAGCAGTTTCAAGGGGAAAGAGTGTCTTATTACCATCCTTTAGATTTCCATATGTTCAAGGACCTTTTCATATTTTCTTGACACATTTTTAAATTTCACGTTTTTTGCTTGTCTCCACAATTTCATTAATTTTTACAAATCATTTTTTTCCCCTTACCATTCATAGTTCACACTATTAGTCACCGATTTTGCTTTTTTTTGTTAGATCCTCAGCATCTAGAGTTTCTGTGATAACCATCTCTCACTCACATGTCACCACTACTGATTTTAGTGTATTTCATTACATAGTTAAAAATGGTATTAAAAGCCAAAGGTTAAGTCATAAACTTAACCCATACTATGCATGCCTAAAAGAGTTAGTCTAACCATTGTGTGTTAAAATGCAGAAAGTAAAAAATTAGTTGCAGACTGGATTTAGGGATGTAACACTTGACAGGCCCTTGAGCCGGTAGTTTGACACCCATGTTGTAGATTCGTACTGTGCAAGTTTCTTTGCATGTGTTGTTGAATTTTTATCCATGGTAGATGGGCATTGTAGACAAGCATTTGTTAGTTTGCTCTTGTGTGCATGTGAATCATTGTGTGTGTAATCCTGACCTTAGAAGTCCCTTCACAGAGAGATTTTGCCAGAGTGATTATGAATGTCATGTGTCATGGAAATCTGCCTTGGCTTAGATGTGATGGATCTCCTTCCTGCTTGGCTGGTACAGTTACTGGATGACTCGTTTCCTTTCTAAACCCAGATGTACTGCTGCCTGTGCCTTGCACACCATAAAATTGTGGGATTATGAAAGTATTATGACAGAATTCCTGCAATCCATACACAGCAGCTCATTCATTTGGGCCCGTCTCCATCTTGGTGGGCCTGCCAGTCGAACGGTCAAATTGAAATTCACTTTAGATTAAGTTAAAGTATAAAATGCTCTCTTACCTCTGGACCTGCTGTTACTGTGAGTGCTTTTGCTGTGTTTAGTGAAATATTTAATAAGGCTTGGGGTTTTACCAAACAACTGGCAACTAAACAGACAATTACTATTAAGACATGTTGCATTAGACTTAATAAGAGTCATTTTGAATATACATGAGATTTTGATTGGTAAATAAAAAAAGCAGTACATTCGTAAGTGGGTAATGGCTCACAACTTCAAATTTATAATTAAAAATGGCTACACAAGTTTTATTTTTAAATTGAGTAGCACTGTCCTGTAGCCTACTTATAGTGTGCGTTGCTGTGGCCAGAACTGACCTTGGCGTGTAAGACGTTCTAAATCTTGCTCAGCATCCTGAGGGTGTGATTAGGGGTGGCTGTCACTATGAATGTTGCCATAGAGACAGGCACATAGACAGAGGGCAATATCAGTGAGTTGTGCTGCTGTCAGCAAAAGTGCAGCAAGAAATCGATGCTGCAATTATCATAGGTTGTGGTGAGGGGAGGGCCAACGAAGCAGTGCATGTCCTTTCTCCTTTGTCATCCGCTTCCCCCTTCCAAGGTCTTCCTTAGCTTAGTGGCCAAATCTTTCCACTGGCTTATTAATGTGTGGTTTGATTTTAAAAAAGCACAAAAAATTGGTTAGGGTGAAGGTTGAAACTGAAGGTTTGTGAATGTAAAATCATGCACAGATGCATTATGTATTCAGGTTTTTGTCATTAACTAAACACTCATTGATGTGTGAAATCTGAAAACAAATTTTACAGACATTTCTCATATTGTTTTTTTATCATAAATATGTTTGTATTTGTTTTACAACAGACACTTAAGCTTTGTTCTTTTTTTTTTTGTCTTGCAGGTGGTCAAAACTCACTTGGATCACCAGTGATAGTGGAGACAAGGCTGAAATAAAAAGTATTCAAAACATCCTCCTGAAGGTAGGAGGAAAACAGGGACCTGTCCTTTATAATTTCTTCTTAAGAGTCCCGGGACCACTTAGAAAACACCACCATACAAATGTGTGCCCCTCCATCAAACAATCATAAAGACTTCACAGTAGATTAGTATCAGAAAGAAAAAATGACAGACACAACAAGTCGCCATCTGAGACACAAGTTGCAGAGCTTAGGACGACGTCTGGATGAGCTTGAAGAGGCCAGAGGCAAACTACAGAAAGCTGAAGATGAACTTCTTGACATTCAGGACAAAATCATTCAGGCTGAGGGTAGCAATTCCTCACTGCTCGCCGATGTGGAGACAATGCGGAAGAGATTGCTCAAAATTGAAGGCAAAGATGAAGAGGTCAGGAAAGCGGAGGATCTTTGTCGTGAGGTTCGGGAGAAATTAGATCAAGAAGAGAAACTTACCAAGAATCTTAAAGCAGAGATTGAGCGTCTTCAGCGTAGAATGACTGAACTTGAGAAGCTTGAAGAGGCTTTTGGTAAAAGCAAGTCAGACTGTACCCAGTTGTGCCTTAGTCTTAATGAAGAGAGAAACCTGACTAAAAAGCTTGCAGCAGAGCTTGATACCTTGAAGGCCCGTGTCAAGGAAGTGGATACCTCTGAAGCTCGACTTGACAGGGCAGAAAAATCCCTTACTGCAGAGATGGAGAAACTAAAGCGTCTCACTCAGACTTTTGTGACTGAACGCAAAAGACTTCTGGAAAGGCAGAGAGAGGATGAGAAAAACATACTCAAGCTGACTGAGAAGCTTGAACGTCAGAAAAACAAACTAGGTCCAGCAGACCGCAGCCAATTTGATTCTAGAGATCTTCGAATTGAGGATGAATTCTCAGCAGGCCTTACATGCAAACTGGCCAGGAAGAAGAGTCTTGACTACTTGAAGCATTCAGGTGACCTAGATTTGAGAAATGAGTCAGAGAATGAGAAAAATAGCGTAGAGGGGCAAGAAGATAATAAAGTTAAAGACCTCAGCCAGGAAGTGGAAAGACTGAAGAAACGTTTGAAGCAAATGGAGTTAGTGGAGGAGGACTTGAAAAACATGGAATCCAAGAATGCTGAATTGATAGAAAAGTACCAGCAGGAGAGAAACCGTAGTCAAGCTCTCCATGACCAGGTTGAGCAGATGAAAATGCAGCTCAGTGGTTGCAGCAGTAGTAATGGAAACTCTGCAATTACCAGCACTGCAAAGGTCCTAGAGAATGGCAAGGCAGAAACTGAAGAGATCCATGTACGAGGCTTCAGACAGGAGAAACCTAAATTGCTAAATAGGAGTCCTGCTGCTTCTGAACCAGTCACCTCAAAATACAAAAGCAGAGAGGCATCTCCTCAGCAGAGGCGAGAAACTAAGCAGAGGAACAAAGACCTGTGTCACTCCACAGAAAGCTCCCCAAAGACTGTACGAAGGACTCTTAGTCCAGCACATAGTGTCAGGAAAGGTATGAGGACTGGTGCTTCCAGTACTACTTCTGATAATGGGACAAAAGATGGAAAGAAAGATGAAAATATTGGAAGTGCCTCATCAAGTACTCTCAGTGAAAGCAAGAAAGTTTCAGTCCTTAGTCGCTATCCTCCAGCTGCTAATGACCAAAAGTCTTGGAAGCCATCGGTCAAGCAAATCGACAGTGATAGCAATAAGAGTCGAACAGAGAAGTTGTCCAGGTACCCTGGAAATGATAGTGAATCAAACAACTCTGATGGGTCACTCCTAATTTCAGCCAGTGCTGCTGTCATTGCTTCATCTGAGAAAGGACTAACTGAACCTGAGAGTCTAGATCAGGATGCTTCTGCAATGTTGAATATGTCCAAGGCAAATGGTTCCTATACTGCTTACAGATCGCATGTATCTCCATCTGTTCTGAGTGACCATGGTTCTGATGGTCACTCCTCAGCCTCCGAAACAGAATCCACTGGCTCCAGACGATCGGCAGGTGAGCAAAACGACCCCCTGATGTCAAGTGGAAGAAAATACACTAGATACTCACAGCTGCAAGAATCTTACTCTGATGGTTCCTCAAAGGTCCCCTTCAGCGAGGAGCAACACAGGCCTCTTACGGTGGAAGGGGATACCCAGGAAACTACGCATTCTACCTCAGGTATTGAGGTCCGCAGGGTATGCAGCCCTCGTGAAGCCCTCCGGTCAAAAGCTATCATCAAGCAAGCCATTGTTGAGATTGATAGAAAGGAAGTGATGTCAGGGGGAGTCACAGAGCCTTTGACCACCAATGGGAAACCCAAGATCTCCACTAAGCCAGTATTGACTAGCAAGATGACCAGCAGTATCACCTTTTATCCCAATGACCCCAGCTCCTCTCGAACAAGCAGTCGAAGCAGTAGTTTATCAAGCGAGCCCCCTTCCAAGGAAAGGCACACTTCCAAAAGCAATATTGTCATCAGCCCCAGTATTGAGCACAGAGGTAGCATCTCTATACCTTACGAAATATCCATCCCTAAAAGTGAGATCACTCTACGTCAAAATGAGGCTGATGCTGACTTTTCTGAAACTCACAGTTACTTTGAGACTGCTCCTGTGGAGGCAGCCCTCGTATCTCAAAGCAGCTTCAGCCTCCAGTCTTCAGAAGCTTCAGACTTGAACAATGACATTGAGTCTGGCTTTGAGAGCAGCAGTAGCAGCACCACCATGACCAGCTGGAGAAGTCACCACAACCACCACTCATATGATGACAGCTTGCCAGAAATGAGAAACGTCACTGTCAGGAGCACTTGGAGGAGCCGTGGGGCAGCTTCTGTGGATGAATCTGCTCGAGCACTAAGGCAAGATGGCTCAGAGGATGAGGGCGAGTCTGCAACCACCTGGAGAGCGTATAGGGCAACTACAGTGATGGACACTCCATCAAACTCCAGCACTGTTGCTAATTGTGGAGGGAAACCAAGCCCAGTCGAAGTATTCATGCATAGGATCAACAATGCAGCACCATCGTTCCCTGATCTGGGACGACGGAACAAGAAGACTCCTTCACCAGAGAGGGCTATTGCACATGAGCCTGTCAGTGCTCAGCAACTTCAGCCAAGAGGCCGTAAACACCCCATGGTGAGTACTGACTTTTTACCTTTTGACCATATTCAATAAAAAGATGTAGATTCCATTCACAGACTGGACAAGCATAGCCATGCTAACTTTGTTGGGATAAAAAAAGATAATTTTATAAATTAATTTAACCTTTAAATACATTTTATAAATTTATTTGACCTTTTAAAGATTCAGGTGTTTAGCATAGTTTCACGTTTATTTTGAATTCTCATCATGATATACAGTGGGTACGGAAAGTATTCAGACCCCCTTAAATTTTTCACTCTTTGTTATATTGCAGCCATTTGCTAAAATCATTTAAGTTAATTTTTTTTAGTATGAATGCATAATATTTCTTGCTAATTTAAATTTGTACTGCTCAGTCCACCGATGGATGTTTTTCAACATGGTCAGTTTAGATCAATGAAGATAAAGTTAAACAGTGGATAAAATTAAGGGAGCTCCAATCAGGATTTTTGTTTTTTACAATGGGGCAATTGTTGCACAATAGTTTACACCCAGCACAATCCTGATATCTTGAGCTGTATGTGATGCAGCCTTAAGCCCAAACTTCGGCCGTACGCATTCTGCACCTTTCCGTGACGGTCCGCACACTGTCCTTGTGACGCAATTTTCATCATCAGAAGTGTCCCTGGATGTCCATGCACACTGTCCACGTGCAGCCCAATTTTTGTGACCATGTGGTCCGCATACAACAGTGCAGAAGCGAGGTGAATATTATGTGTGTGCACTTTGAGTGTGCATGAGCGCACAGTTTCTAGAGCGCGCGAGTGCTGAATGGTTTAACACTGGCGAGAAAGAAAAGCAAATTATAAACTTTATTGACAATGTGACACTGCCAGCAATTACCAGCACTACAAAGTTCCTAGAGAATGGCAAGGCAGAAACTGAAGAGATCCATGTACGAGGCTTCAGACAGGAGAAACCTAAATTGCTAAATAGGAGTCCTGCTGCTTCTGAACCAGTCACCTCAAAATACAAAAGCAGAGAGGCATCTCCTCAGCAGAGGCGAGAAACTAAGCAGAGGAACAAAGACCTGTCACTCGGCCGTACGCATTCTGCACCTTTCCGTGACGGTCCGCACACTGTCCTTGTGACGCAATTTTCATCATCAGAAGTGTCCCTGGATGTCCATGCACACTGTCCACGTGCAGCCCAATTTTTGTGACCATGCGGTCCGCATACAACAGTGCAGAAGCGAGGTGAATATTATATGTGTGCACTTTGAGTGTGCATGAGCGCACAGTCTCTAGAGCGCGCGAGTGCTGAATGGTTTAAACACTGGCGAGAAAGAAATGCAAATTATAAACTTTATTGACAATGTGACACTGCCTCAATTGTGCAAGTGACAATTCCTGTCAACTGTGCAGCGTGCAACTCACTTAATGCAGACGTGATGTGGTGATTTGAAGCCATTTGCGCATTTTGAGAGAGAGAAAGAGCGAGTGCACATTGATTCATTCACGCTGTTTGAAATTACGTCTCACAGAAAGTTTTCAAGTTACTTTGTAAGTTATTTAATAAAGAAATACGAATTGTACCTCACCTTCAGCATTATAATTATTTTACCCACACCGGACAGAGATTGAGACGGTGCCACTGCATGTCATGGCAAACCGCTCACGGCAGACGCGTCGTCAGCTTGAGATCGGCCTTTCCCAAAGCAATATTATCCAAAAGCAATCAGTAGCCGATCAATTGGAGCACCCCTACATAAAATATCCTGGTAAAATTGAGGTTAGGTCAGCAGTATGCTTATGCAAATCATCTGATTATCCAAATCCAATCTTGCTTGTTTATTCTCTTGGTAGTTTGTGTTCTCTCCCCCCATTCCCCACCCCAGGTTTGTGCGCATATTTGGTGCCACCATTTTTATTATTATTATTCATTATTAATATAATATCGATACGTTTTAATATTTAGCCATGGAATATAACACTTTTTTATTTTGTTTGATTTGGAAGTTTTTCTTGTAATACTCTGCATCTGGAAGAAGGTGAAGAGGACAGATATTTTGTAAGCATGAAGTATTTTTAGATCACTCTCTGTCTGCTGAAAGAGAAAAATAGGCCATTGAGATATCTTTTCTCTTCTGTTTTTCTTGATATATCCTAACCAGGAAACGGTGTTTTCCAGTTGTAGCCAGTCTATGTCTTCAGTCATTTGAATACATTATAAGTACATGCAAGACTAAGCTGAAGTGAGAATTAATAAACTAGGGTCTTATTGTTTATTTTAGTAGTTTAAACCTGCTTTCTTTCCCCTTCTTCCTTGACTTCAATATTTTCAGAGTATGGAACTTTATGATAAGGTAGAAGTCTTCAAGTTAATATTTTTGCTTCCTTTTAAAGTGGTATAATACTCCACATGAATGGCTAAAATTATGTGGACACCTCCTAATTAATGGGTTCAAGCCAGTTTTATGTAGGTCCCTACATGTTTTTTTTAAAAATATTTATACGAATAAAGCTGTTTTCATTTTTTGGAAGTAATATTTCTTTGTAAGATATTGATACATGTAAAGAGTGTTGAAAGCTAATGATGGACAGGTCAGAGGCCATGCCTTTGTTTTCAGCAAAACTGTTAGTCAGGTCAACGGGCAGTTTTTTGTCTCACCAGCTAAACCAATTTGAGTCTGGCGTCACCCCAGCAGTCAAAACAAAACAGGCAAAGCAGGCCCTTTTCACTAGCTTTCACCCTTTTTTCACTTACTGAGAATACAAGTAAGAGAATAGAGCTGCATCCTATCAGCGCACCAATTACCATCATCCTCTCATTAAACATCTCAAACAGCCCAGTCCACAAATTTACCCACAAAGACCTAATTAAATTACTGAGATGGCCTTTGAGACTCAAACATGGCCCTTTCCTAGCACACGACTTCAAAAACAAAAACTGCCCCTTTTTCTCCAATCTCTCTTTCTCACGTTCTATTTCATGCCATTTTTGTTTTTTTGTTGTTGTTTTTTTGTCTATTGCTCTGATGAATGGTAAATGTCTGTTCGTTTATCTGAGAAAGCCGAAAGATTAATGCACAAGTGAATTCTAGCACGTGCATAACCAGAGGCCAGATCATTTGTCTTACTCTCTTCTCTCTATCACTCAGTGAAGGTTAGTTTTCTTTGTACTACAGATGGTTCTTCATGCTGTCATTGCAGCTGTAAGTTAATATACTGCTATTGTGATCACACAATCATTCATTCACTCTTATTTCTCTCTGTCGGGGATTCTCTGTCATTAATCTTTTATCTCTTTCAGCTTTAAAGCGTCTTTCCATCTGTAGAAGTAAATGCGATTTGTACCATAAACCTTTAAATTAAAAGGGGTAAAAAAACGGATAAAATTATGTATGCCGGGCCTTTTCTTCAAATGAGTGCATTTTTTGCCTTGTGGTAAAAAATAAACTCCATCAAAACACTCTCTCAGGAGTTTGTTTTATTTATCTACTACATCCAACAGTGTTTACTTATACGTCACAGAAGAATTCTGTGAGTTCAGTCGTTTTCATTTCCACTACAGTGTAATTTTTGCCATGATGGTGATGGGAAATGTTTAATGGTGAATGACATTCTTTAGAATAAAATAACTCACTCCTTTGTCTTGATAATGCAAATTTCATAGCTATAATTTGTATGTATACTAAAAATACACATTACGGAATAAAATTTTCATACTTTGTGTAAAGAGTGACACTTTGTTTTGTTTTTTACACAAGTATCACTCTTTGTTTAGATAAATAGTATTTTTAAAATATGTAAAATATATTTTATAATGGATTTGCATAGTCTAAGATTGAACGTCTGGGTCTGGGTCAAGTCTAAAACAATAAAATCTACACATTAAATTGAAAAGCATTAATATAGCCTTAGGCAAAAAAATGAAATGTTTAGTTTGAATACAAGTCAACTCCTAGGACGTAAAAATGCCAATAGTCAAAGAAGCAACTACATATTCTCAGTCTAGCAACTGATTGAAAGCAAAATTATCCATTCCCACTCAATCTGGAGTCCATTAGGAAGGATTTATCTAATCAGCCATGGTCAGGCATGCATTCAACTTTATCTCCAACTCGTGTGACTTTCCTTTTTTTTATTAATCATCCCAATAAATACCTCACTTAGGGTTATCACTATGATTGTGACACAATATGATCAGTGTTTAAATGAAGAAACCCTATAAACTGAGAATTTGTTCCATTTTTTTTTTGCTGTTTGTAGATAATTACGAGTTGCATTGTAAAACTCCTCAGACTTCAGGTAGTAAAACAGATTTGTGGTAAGTGAATTGTGGTCACAGCTGTGGATGCAGTATTGAATTGTTGATTCCATTATTTCTCTGGACCTGTATCACATCACATGCTTCCTTTTTTTTTTATCTCAGTGTATCTACAGTGGAATAGTTTGACCGTGGATGTCTTTATTTAAACCTTCAGGCGGATTTCCAGACTGTGTCTTATATAAGATCAATACCACAGTGATTAGAGGGAGATTCAATCTGTCCATCAATGATGTGGTGTCGTTGTGCTGATGGGGCAGAGGTATTATCTCCTCCATTATTAATGAAGGCACGTGTCCAGGACTGTCCTCACAGATCAAGGTCATCTGTTTCATGTCTCTGACACAAAGCCTATGTGAGTCAAATATATGTGTTAAAGTCGTTAATACTCCTGCTGTGTGGAGAGCAGTATAAAGTAAAGTAATCCTGGTTGGCCAGATGTCGTGTTATGTTTAGAGCTGGAATGACTTTTCATCCCTGCGTATAAAAATACACAAATCTGGAGTGATTTATGGAGGAATTTTGATCACAGGTTTTTTTTTGTTTGTTTTACTGGAAATTAATATGGGACAGTTGTGCTTGGGCAGGCAACCATTAGCTACTTATTAATATAACACTTTGCTTACATAATATAATAACACTTTGGTTAATGGCATCTGTATAGTGTGATAATGAAGACACTTCCAACTGAAGAAAAAAGTAGCACTAAATAGAATTGGTAATTCGTTTTCAATAATTTGTAATGTTCATAAAAATGTTGCATACACAAATTAAATGTGTACAGTAATTATATCAGAAGGTAATACTATAGTACTTTGATATCCAGTATGCCATAGTTTTGAATGATAATGTTGGGTATTATGGAATTTACATGGTATAAAAGAATACCATGTTATTACCTTTATTATGTTTGTTTTTCCATTGTATTTTAAAATGATCTAGCTAATGTATTTTTTATAAACTAACTAATAATTTAGTTAAAACTGAATTTTAGATTTTAAAAAAAGGCATTTTTTTTAAAGAAATGCTTTTAAAAAGGATGCTCAACTCATAATCAGACTCTTACATACTTGAATCACATAAATCACACTGGATATAAAATAATGGAATTTATTTCATTAGTTGTTGTTTTTTTTGAAGATAGAATTTCAAAATATTTTCGTAACAGACCACATGTTCTGCTCTTGGTACTGAGAACATAAACACTTGATCTGTGTTAGCCAATTTTTTATTTAAAAAAAAAAAAAAAAAGGGAAATCTAGACATTTGCCACTTCAGGACAATCACTAGGAGCAAGTTACAGTTACAAGCTGTAACTTCACATTATTCACATAAATGGCTTTCCTGTACCATGGATTTACATGGAACCCATTCCGTCATGACATCTTTCTGTAAGATTGTGCTTGGGTCGTTTCCACACGTTGCCCCTTCCTGAGTGACACAGGAAGTTGCAAGGTTGCGCCTGCCCATTTGGCAGCCGATGCATCGTAACTGGTTTCCTGTACACCCACCTCTCGTATCCCAGCAGGCCTCAAGCCCTATTATGGACAATTAGCATCTGTCTGCTGTGTATGAAATTCCACAGCAGTGTGTGGCATATCCTGCTGCCTCATTTGGGAACTTTTTAAAATTGACGTCATAAACCATTTGGTTGGCTGTGTAAAGTCTCCACCTTCATGGTAAAGAAAAGAGACAATAGTCATTCTATATTAGGACTTGTTCTGCGGTCTGAGCAATTTCTCTCCTCTGACGTGTCTTAATAAATGTTTGGTCTGATACTTATACCTTTTTTGGAATTGACAATAAAGATTTTAATTAAGCATCTAATGTTTAGAATAGTTCTCTTTAGGTCCTTGCTTGGTTGTTCACACAGTTTCTTTTTTTTTTTGGAACCCAAACTTGCATGATATATGTGACCCTAGACCACAAAACTGGTCATAAGTGTCAATTTTTTTAAATTGAGATTTATACATCATCTGAAAGCTGATAAGCTTACCATTGATGTAGGGTTTGTTAGGACAGGACGATATTTGGCTGAGATACAGCTATTTGAAAATCTGGAATTTGAGGGTGCAAAAAAATGCCTTTGAAGTTGTCCAAATAAAGTCCTTAGCAACGCATATTACTAATCAAAAATTGTTTTGATATATTTACAGTAGAAAATTTATCAAATATCTTCATGGAACATGATCTTTACTTAATATTCTAATGATTTTTGGCATAAAAGAAAAATCAATAATTTTGACCCGTACAATGTATTGTTGGCTATTGCTACAAATATACCTGTGCTACTTATGACTGGTTTTGTAGTTCAGGGTCACATATATACATGTTCCTACAGTTGTGGAAAACCTGTAAATATCAGCCTGGAAAATTTGTGGAAATTGATCATATATCAAAAAGTCACGGAAAGTCTTAAACATTTCTATAAATGCATTTATTATATCCATTAGAAAATGCACTTTGTCAGTCTGTATTTTTTTTTTTTTTAATGAATCCTATACAATAATCACAATTGAGTGGAAAAGTAATATTTTATAATATATTACTGAACCCTAAAGAGATAAATAAAAAATTGCATTTCATGGCATTTCTTTATTTGCTTTAAATGCCAGTTACATACAGTATATTGCCATTCAAATAAAGGGATTTTATTTTCACAATATTCACTAATCAGTGATATTGCATATATTAAGATGAAAATTTCACAGTCAGGCAATTATGTGATTGTCACAGGCCTATATTCCTTCCAAACATGACAGAATTTGGTGGATAAATAAATCAATTGAAATCATTGTCACATTTGTTGTATGTTTGTTCTCTTCCCAGTCTGCAGATGATCGAGAAAGCGCTCCGTCCTCATGGCGAAGGCAGCCTGCAGGTGACGTGGACCTGTACGATAGGTCTGGGAGTCGTGGAGCGTGGTCTAGCAGAAACCGCACAGCTGATGGAAGTCGGTCGTGGTCAAATCGCCATCTGGACAATTGACCCAGATTACCCACATTTCCAACTAGAGGTATGTGTTTTTCTTATAAACATATTCAGTTAAACTTATCAAAATCTAGATACCATAGAGGATTCTGGGTTATACTTAATTAAAGCGAGCTAGAAGCTAATTACTCGCGTGTTAATGAGTCTTGACCTAAAGTATCCTCGTGTGTTTTTATTGCCTCAGTTCTTACATCTCTTGTGCACAAGGAATGAAACTCATCTCATCTCTTCAGTTACACCATATCTTTAAAAACCATCAGATGAACAGATTTCCAGGCAGTGACACCTGGGAACCACCCCGTTGTACTCTTACATAAACCACACCTGTATGAATTCACCATCTTCCAGCTGTCGTTTGGGAACAGAAGTCACATGTTCCTACAGCGATGAATCCTCTTCTGCTCCCCGTAGTGTATTAAAGTCTTCAGATGTGACAAGGGAGAGGAGCAGACATGTGACTGCCTTGGTGTTTGGAGGATGTGAAAGGGGCTTTGGATCAGCATTTTGAGAACCCCACACAGTCCTCCCTGGTGCCACAGGTCCTGGGAGATTTTCATGTGTTTTCACAAGGAGCAGGTTACAGCTTGTGGCTTTTTGAGTATTTTGACAATCTCACTTTTTTCTGGATGGTGTTTAATTCAGGAATCAAGTGGGATCATTGCACACAGCTAAAATTCATTGATTATCCAGGTGTTCACACATAGAGCCAGTAGTCAACCACATGCTAAGTCTTCAGTATGCATTAATGTACATATACCCAACTTTTCTTGCCTGGTGCCCAAGTTTATTTGATCTCATTTGTAATTTGCTCCTTGTATCTGATCATGTCTATTGAACTGTGTTCTTTTACTAGTTTGTTTAATTCCTTCATCTTCATCTGTTTAATTGGATTTGATGGTCTCACAACCAGCATAGCGAATACACAGGACCACCAACACTAAAAAGCTGGGGAACGCATCTGCATGTTGACTCCCCCGTCTCAGTAGCTCTGAAGGGATGTTGGCTTTGGATTCCAAACCAGCTAGAGAAGAATCCAATCATCTAGAGTTCATCTCGATGTGACCTCGTCCATCTGGGTAGCTAACCGGGATTAACCCAAATGCTGGACATTTATGGAGGATTTTCAGAGCAGACTCCTCACAGCCGCTCTGTGACTGTACTCGCAAACTTGCACAGAAAGACATTGATCCGAACTCTCAGTGTGTCACAGGAAACCAGTGTTGGGGATTCTGCTAGTCCGAGTCAGTCTAAAAAAAAAACCCTAGATGGGTTGTTTTCAGTTATTTCAGCTATAAAGCTTGTTGAGCCTTGAGGGTGGCTAGCATGACGCCACAGAGGATCCAGAATGCTTTAGTTAGGAATGCCTGTGCCTGGATAAATGGCCTCACCATTGAAAACATCGGAATGCCCATCACTTTGTCCTCATGCGGAAATATTATTGAATAGAGCTGCTGCAGTTGAAATGTCTTGTACTGTTTCTATTAGGTTTTAAACTCTAGTGCCGCCAATGATTTATTTTCTCATTCAGGCTCGGATTCCTCTTGTCCTTGAATACTCTAAAGTGTCTGTGTGTATTAATATCTCCCTTATACAATACCATGTCTCGATCGAACCCGATGATGACGACGAAGGGTCCATTATCGCTCGGCCCGCCAGATTATCTCAGTCTCCAATGTCACTGGGATGTTTTATTTTTCTGTTTGTTTTAATCTAATGCTGTACATGTAAAGTTATGGGAGTTGATGTTCAGGTGGGCAGTTTGCTATCTTACTTGGTTATTACTGCTTTAAAAAGATCCACGCCTCACCATCACAGTCAGTTTTGCTTCGTTCTGGTTTCATGTGCTTCTGTGTCCTGTATTCATCCCTCTGCTTGGGCTGGATGGAGTCTTTGAAACACGAGTGGAATTTTTTATTTTTTTGTCTATCGATTGATCCATTTTATTATTTGTAAATGCACTTAAATCATTAAAAGTTTTATAAAGTACAAAAACAGACTACATCCTTCTGAAAATCAGTCATTTCTGATGTATAAATAATGTTTTTACAGCTTTGGTTTGGATTATACCTCAGAAATGGAGACACTACACACAACTGATGTGGCTTAGCAGCAAAAAATTTAAGGTGTAACGAATAATGTAATGATTTTACCACCCAACATAAAACTAAGACTTCATTTTCTACACCATACAGTATTTATAGTATATATTTTTCATGAATTTCTGAAAGTTTTTCAGTAACTCATTAGAATCCGGTCGGTGGTTTGGCTTTGTACTTCCCCAAATTTGGGTGTCTGTTTTGTTCTGCACAGTAAAACCAAACATGTGTCTTTCCAAATGCATTCCCCAGACTTCACCTCTACTTCCTGTTCAGGGGTCTTGGGCTGAAGCGAACATGCTGGTTCCTGTATCTCATGCCCTTGCTTTCCCAGAATACCTTCGTGCTCTGGGCTGCTGTAATCCAAGCTGCCGGTCCCTAAAGCCATTTTATTAGCTGGCTAAAGCAGTGGCAGCAGGCCTGATATACGACCCCAGTGTTGGTTGCAGGTCGTAGGTCAGTGCTGCATTTGATGGGCGTATAACTTGTGAGGGAGGAAGTGAGACCAGCTGGCAGCAAAAAAGCAGAAAGGGTGAACGGCCAACTCTTTGGGATGGTGTCCATGTGTGGTACCAAGAAGAACCAGGAGGGTCAGCCTGGATTCTGTAGAGTTTTAGCCATTTCTCAACTTCCACAAATAGTTTCAGGCATTATGAATTGTAAATCCCTCTATAATAAAATTGTGCCCGTTTAAAGCTTGCAAACATGATCCTAAAACTGCAGCATGACCCAAACGGATGTGATGATATAGTGCGAGTCTGTACTGGAAATACCAGCAGACTCTTCCCTCCCAACCCCCCGGCCAGGCAGAGGTCTCTCGGCTGCTCTGTGGCTTCAACCGCAGCTGTCGGAAACCATCGTTTTTATGTGCTCACAAGTCAGTCCAAAGTTTCTGAAAGAGGTCTTTTTAAAGAGGCTGACTGAATCCGCAATTCTCAAGGAATTCTTCCTCATTTCTCAACCCCATTTACTAATGTGTCCGTGTGCCGTTCGCCCTCAGAAGTCATCTAACACATGTCTCTGATTTTCATTCCTCCACTTGTGTCTTTAGCTGTCTGTGGAAATAATGGCTGTGAGCTTCGATTACACGTCTCAGAACAGATCAAAGGTTATATAGTTTCACACACTGTTCGTTTAAAAGAACTAAATCAAGAAAATATATCTCCCTACATCAAGGTTTTCCCATCTACATCAATTTTGTGTACATTTATGAAGTCAATCTTAACCTAGTTATGACACCAGTCGGTAAGCATTACCATATTTAGCTTCTGACAGTTGGTGATTACTCAGAATGGTTTTTAATCATTTTTAGTAACAATTTTCTAAGCCTTATTGAAGAGAGCCTTATTAAATTATTTTTTTTTCTAAATGTCATAAGCAATAAAGTAATATTGAATGTACAGAAGAGAAATTTTGAAAGCTGTGTTATACCCGCGTTGTGAGCCGGCATTGGTCCTGAAAGGTCAAAAATAGGTCACGGTGTCATGAAATATCACTCCAGAATCTGCACTTAACCAGCACTTAACGTAAATGACTCTTTTAACCTTTTCCTTTATGGATTTCATTTTCTAATATGCCTGTTTTTTCCCTAATTCACTTCCCCCTAATTAATTGAATGTACAGCCATCAAATATGTATATATATATATATATATATATATATACACACGTGTGTTTGTGCACTGGCCAAAATGAAAGAATAAGTTCACCTGCAGCAACTGTGAGACAGACCTTGTATTGTTGGGGTTGACAAATGGACTGTCCACATTATTTGTATAGACTGCAAAGTGTTTTATTTTAATTTGTCATTATTCTTTTTTCTGTACGGCCAAGTGCTTTGTATTGTCTGTTTCAGTTGACCCGTAATGTGCCAAAAATCATTCCAAGATATTTTTGTAGTTTACAAGGAAATGAACAGCTTCTTAAGCATTATTGAAATTAAAAGGGTAAATATTTCTGTTGTCAAGCTTTTCCTTCATTTGCTTTTTCCCCCCTCAAACTACAATCGGATAGGTTTTATTTAAAAGTATCCTGTAATTTTGTAAAGTGGGCCATGTTTAAGATGTGTTAATTTTTTTCCCTTTTTTGTTTATTGTGTAGATGTGTACCTTATTGGGCTCCTGGAGAGTGTTTTTTGTTTGGATTATTAATTTCAATGTTTTATTCATAATTTGTATGAACTATTAAAGTTAGCAGACTCAGTTAAAAGTGTTAATTCACCAGCTTTTCAAGTGTTGCTTTTTTCTTTCATTCTAAGGGAAGTGTTTAGGTAAAGTAAGATGGATATGTTGAGCCAGAGGCTCAGTATGGTTCAGTTCTGTACTGTTCTCATCTTTTATTAACCGCTCAGACTGTGGGTTTCCCTTCTGTTCATTCAGGGTTCATTCATCTCCTGTGCCATATTAAAAGCACTGCCAAAGACAGATTTCAGGCCTTAAACACACATACGCAAACATGCTGTAACACACAGAGTAACTGAATTAAAGTTCACTGATATTTGCTTACACTGTCTCTCAAAGACACTGCACATATCTAAATACAGGCCTGCATCGTTAAAGAAGGGAGACAGAATGGTTATCAAGCAGGTGTTGGTCTAGCGTGAACCTGCAGTGAGGACACAGGTGAGCATGCTCATTGTATTTAGCCTCTCAGTGTCAGCAATAACACACTCTGCGTTTCAGTCTTACACCTTTGTACTGTAATATTTGTGAATGTTTCAGCTTAACATGTTTCAGCATTGTGCATGGAGCTAGACATCTCTTTAGGCTGAACTGCAGACTATATGTATTCCAGCTAATATAATAAAAGCAACTTGTTTGTAACAGGTTTGGGTTTGTGTTTTTATCTAGTGTCTTTTGATGGTTACTAGACATGATAGACTGAATGTACATCCAAGAAGCTCTGCCGTCATTTAATACATATATTGGTGATAATCAATAAAAATAAAAACACAATCACACCCCCCTTTGGTTTTAGCTGGCGGAACATATTCTTTGTGTGGTGCCAGATCGATCAATCTAAATACAACTCCTCAGTTAGAATAAGCAACACTATATTCCAGTTATGACAGTAAAAATGAGGTGTATGCCTAAAAATTAGGGGTTTACCAATGTATTTTTGTCATTTTGAAGCTTGAGAGCCTGATTAACATTTTATAAGGAAAAAACATCCTGGATATTAATCAAAAATTCACTGGGAATTTGAAGGCCCATTTATTCCAAGAACGATAATGAGAATAGTTAAGTCCACACCACAACTATACTGATAATGACACGCAGCAGCATTATTACTGGAATCAGAATCTTTTTTTGTTCCAGCTGATGAATGATTAAAACATTGACAGCCAATCAGAATCCAGACAACTTTAAAGAAAGTGAGCATTTTTTAGAGGTAGGTGACATAATTGCACCGGTACACTTATACTTAATAGAATGCTATCGTCTGTTGGTGTGAACACTAATATAGTTATTGTTTTTGGTGTGAACAGTTTGGAACACCACGAGGGTGAGTAAATGACTTGTGAACTGTTCTTTTAAGGCATCAGTACATTGTAAAGTAAACGTATGATCTGCATTTTATGGCTTGGTACTGATAAATAATATTGACTATTTCAGTGAGTTCATAAAGCAACAGACTATTTAGAGAGAAAGACACCATAAATCTGACAGGATGCTGCAAAGAACTCTAAAACCAGGCTTATAGAGTTCACTCAGCATCAGAATTCACTATTATTTGTCCAAGTCCTTGAAACGGCTCCTAAAGCTTTAATCCTGTTCTGAGACTGAGAATTATCAGCCTAATGGGACAGTTTTTTTGAAAGACATCCAAAATGGATAAGTTAGAAAATTCTAGACAGTGAAGTCATTCATCAGCATTACCGAAAAAAAGTTTAAAAGCATTTTAATGGAGCGTTAACATGAAACTGACTAGGTGATAAAAAAAAAAAAGAAATATTAGAAGGCCTATCTGAGTGTGAAGGTGTTGTATGAGTGTTTGTGCGCACTAGGGATATGCCAGTATCAAATTTTCATGTTGCGATTAATTGTTACAGCGGTGTTGTGCCTTTTGAACAGTTGATGGGAAAAGTATTCTTAAAATGCATTCAAAATTTGGAATAATTTGTAATATATAATTATTCACGGTATTTAGAAGTGCCCACGATAACAATATCGTGCAAATTCATTACCGTGATATATCGCATTACCGAATACCGGCACAAGTCTAGTGCGCACGCATGAGTATTTTAGTCCATGGGAAGTATATTTCTGCACTCTGGACTGCAGGGTGTGTGGAGGTTTCTGTGTTGAAGGGCACATTGTGAAGTTGTTGTAGTGTGTGGGTGATTAAGAGTAGCATCTGCTTGTGAACAGGATGAGTCAGGTTTGAGTTCTGACACACTTGTGTACCCATTACTGCAATGCCTGTGCATCAGAAATCACATTCAAAAACAGACATACTCCGTGTCTAACGCAATGAAATATTGATCAGAGATCCCAGAGGGCATCCAGGTGTCTTTGAGAATATTGCAGTACGTCAAAGGTGTTCAAATACGAGTTGAATTGTCAATCAATTTTAATATTATGCAACCAGATTATGGAGTCAGCTCGCGCATCATTTCCTGTTACCGGCTAACGTTGTGGCTTTAGAAAAGTCAATAAATCTCTAGAGGGACTGGTCTTGAAGTTGCCTGCAGTTAACAGTTCAACATAAAAGCATCCACAAAATACCGTAATATCTAATAGACATGATTTGAGGGCGATTCGGCTCTGTGGTCAATGAGTCGAATGTACTCACATTTATCAAAACCACTGGACGACTGCAGTATTATGAATTAAAGTACAGTTGTGGCATCGTGGTGCAGGCTGCTCAAGGCTCTAATCATGAACCAACGGCTGGGGCCAATATCAGCTCAGGTCCCTCAGACTCCCACAATGCAGTGCAGCTGCCAGGGCCCACACCACACAAACTGGGGCTGAGGCCAGAGGCCTGGAGGGTTATAGCAAGAACAGACAGCGCCAAAAGAGAGGCCAAAAAAGCCTCTGGGCAGCATGACATGTGAAGAGACTGAATAAACTAAGAATAAAAAAGCAAAGCAGACAGAAATGGGAAGGAAATGGCCATAACCAAAAGAAGAAAAATGAGACCATGAAAACGGGCTAAAGAAGCAGGTTAAGAGAGTGTTTGACCAAAATATTGTGTATTCTATATGTGGATTTCTATAGAAATTATGGATTATGCACATAAAATTTCACAAAACAATGGTAAATGGAATGCACCTCAGGGAACAGAGAGGAGTGCAGGGTTGAGATGCTTTTTTTTTTTACTTTTTAATGTTGTGATTCAACAAAGTAGTGAAAGATTATTTTCAAAAGAGCATACTGTGACATACAACCTAGGGAAATGTTTTATCAAAAAGAAAAAAAATGTGTAGTGGGGACTTTTGTTGATTGGATGGAAAATGATTGGAGATGTCCAGCATATATCGTCAGATAGAAGGCTGTCGTTTTACATGAAGATCCAGTTATTACATTTAGATTAAAAATGAAACATGCATAGATGAATCATTTACAGCAAGATTAAGAATATTCATTTAGAATTTACATTTTATGCCAACTTTAACATCAGTTTGGTATGAAAAATAGAAAAGAACAAGAGGTTCTCAACATGTTTTAAAGGAGAATGTGAAAAATGTACATTTAACGTTTACATAAAATTATTTATAAAAGCATCACAGTGGGACACAAAGTATGCATTCATTCTGAACCAGCTCTTTATTAAAGCAAACCTGATACTAAAATGAATAAATAAATTTAAAAATCCACAAAGAACCATAAACTACCAGAAAGCTCGGGGTATGAAGCACACTTCATATTTATTTTTGCTACCAAAAAACATACAAATATAAAAAAAGATTGTAATGAAAATAATTAAACAAATAATAAAACTTAAAAAAAACATGAGATGCTCAAGAAAGATACAAAGCTATAACTGATATCCTATTTTAACAGAAACAGACCTATTCGCAACACTTCATGTGCATTCCAGCTAATAAGCAATTTTTCCTAACAAAAACATTCAAGCTACAAAATGAGGAACATAGAAAAGTCATAACATTTGCTTTTGATTTTCTTTTTGTTCTTTTTTTAATATTCTGAAAAACTAAAAAGGAATGGGTTGGTTAGGCAGTTGGATTTCAACTAATGCATCCATATCCATCTCCTATCTGGTTTTTACAATTGTAACTTTAATGCTCTGCCTTGAAACATCTGATAGTTCGTGATCGAGGACTTCACATGTGTTGCGTTACATGTGAATAACAGTCCCTGTTCTTATATATGCCTCAGTGGAGAACAAACCATTCCAAGTAAATTCCAAAATACCTAGGAATTCTTCTGGAACCATCCACCTGTCCTTTTAGTTGCCTTAGAAGTTAGCCAGAAAAGCTACAGCAGCAGAAGGTGAATGAGTGAAGGGTTGTTTTAAATCTCCAGCTCCCAGATTAGTGAATGATTTCCCTAAAGGCATGTTCTTACACGCAGACAAACTCTCCCATAAACACACACACACATTCCCAGTCTAAGGAGTCACCCGGTGTCCTTACTTGACCCACCCGCTCTTTATCTAGCAAGACATTCTTTCGCTGAAAATCCCCAACTCACATTCTCTCTCTGTGCACATCATGTGTGAGTTTAGATGTTTACTGGATGCTGGGGGACGGCTGTGGGTTTGGATTGGCAGTGGCTTGGCGTGGCATAGTGTACATGGCCCCCAGGAACTGATCAGCGATCCTTCCTGCCTCCCTCAGCCCACTCAGCAGAGCACCATGGACCGTAGCGGGATAGTTTCTGATCGTGTGTTCACCCGCGAAGAACAGACGTGGAACAGGCTGCGAAACGCACACAATCAGCATGACATCTGCTTCTGCTGACACGAGCATCTCAGAGGAAATGAGCAATAAGTTATGGCACTCACCTGTGAGGCTCCAGGTATGGCGGGACCAGGTGTGATGGGCTGGGCCATGAGATCATAGTCATTACCAGATGAACCGGCTGCTACGTACGAGTAAGACCCACGGGCCCAAGGGTCGGCACGCCAGCGACTCACCACCGTCTCCTTTGGCTGCCATGACGACAGACACAGAACACATAGTCGGTTTGTTGTCGTTGGAGCAGAGCCAGACGCTCCATACCACGGGAAAGAGCCGCAGAGTCTCAGTGTGTGATATATTAGAGAACTGAACTCTTTTCATTAGATTTAGGTTGACGTTTCCTCTCATGGCTGCTATTCACACAAGCTTTTGTTGCACAGTGAAGACTAGGGATGGGTACCGAAACCCGGTATTTAATCGGTCCCGGGGCTAAATTATGAAAGACCGGAGTATCGATAAGCTCTGACGTTAACGGTTCTGCTATCAGTACTGGAGAAATTAAGAAAACACGCGCAACATGAAAGCCCGGTTTAATTATGATAGAAGAGAGAACTAAACATTCAAACTTCTGCTTACACTTTAGGCCTGTGGCGGTTTTAAGCTA